ATACATTAAAAATTTTTAAAAATAGAGGTGCCTCAGCTGGTTAAGCATCTGACTTCAGCTCAGGTCATGATCTCACAGTTTGTGAGTTCAAGCCCCGTGTCAGGCTCTGTGCTGACAGCTCGGAGCCTGAAGCCTGCTTGGGATTCTGTGTCTCTCTCTCTCTCTGCCCCTCCCCTGCTCATGCTCTGTCTCTGTCTCTCAAAAATGAATAAATGTAAAAAATAATCAATTAATTAAAAAAAGTTTTTAATAAAATATACCATGAATGTATATACAATAGAATATTACTCGGTGATCAAAAGAATGGAATCTTGCCATTCGCAACAATGTGAATGGAAGTAAATGTATTATGCTAAGCAAAATAAGTCAGAGAAAGACAAATATATGATTTCACTCATATGTGGAATTTAAGAAACAAAACAGATGAACATAGGGAAAAGGAAGGGAAAATAATATAAAAACAGAGAGGGGAGCAAACCAGAAGAGACTCTGAAATACAGAGAACAAACTGAGGGTAGCCGGAGGGGACTTGGGCAGGGGATGGGCTAAATGGGTGATGGGCATTAAGGAGGGCACTTATTGGGATGAGCACTGGGTGTTAACATGTAAGTGATCAGTCGTTAAATTCTACTCCTGAAACCATTACTACACTATATGTTAACTAACTTGGATTTAAATTTTTAAAAATAAAAGAAACGAGGAAAAAAGGGGGGGGGGCAGAGAAAAGAAAGGAAGCAGATATTAGCTTCAAAGAACTACAGACTCACTGTTTCAGAGAAGCCCCACCCCCACCGCGCAGGCCCAAGGCCCCAGGAAGCCGAGGAGAGAGTTCTCTGTAGCCCGGGATACCCACCGTGACGGGATCCTCCAGAGTCACGTCCATCTCACTGAACTTCAGGTAGATGTTCCCTCGGCAGACTCTCCACAGCAGCCTCTCAAAGGAAGCCATCCTCTCCCTGTTGATCACACCGGCCGTGAACCTGAGCAGACAGAGGCACTGCTGAAGCACGGAGAGCGGGAGGTAGGGAGAAGGCCCCGTAGGACGTGAGGTTATGCCACCAGGAGACAGAGGCCCGCTTCACCCTGAGCAGGAGGCAACGACTCGGCCCTTGGTGGCAGGCGTAGGGAGGCCACCCTGCATCAGAGCCCCAACCCCACCAAGTCGTGTTTCCTCTCATGTGTTGAGGTTTCCCTACTCACCCCGATACTACGTATTCACTTATTTGCGATTAGAAATACAGTAGACCATTTGTTATGGCATCAGAACTAAAGAAAGGAACTATCCCAACTGCTCCACAATGGGCTCTGGGTATTTTTACAAATAATGTACTAAGAATGAAATATACAGGGCGCCTGGGTGGCTCAGTGAGTTAAGCCTCTGACTCTTGATTTCTGCTCAGGTCCTGCCCCTCCGGTGGTGAGACAGAGCCCCAGATCAGGCTCCTTGCTGAATGTGGTGCTTGCTTAGGATGCGCTCGCTCATGCGCTCTTTCTCTCTCTCTCTCCCCCTCTCCCTCTCTCTCTCTCTGCCCCCCTCCCCTACTCGTTCTCTCTCTCTAAATAAATAAACTTTAATTTAAAAAATAGAAGTGTTGGGGCGCCTGGGTGGCTCAGTCGGTTAAGCGTCCGACTTCAGCTCAGGTCACGATCTGGCGGTCTGTGAGTTCGAGCCCCGCATCGGGCTCTGGGCTCATGGCTCAGAGCCTGGAGCCTGCTTCCGGTTCTGTGTCTCCCTCTCTCTCTGACCCTCCCCTGTTCATGCTCTGTCTCTCTGTCTCAAAAATAAATAAACATTAAAAAAAAAATTAAAAAAAAATTTTTAAAAAATAAAATAAAATAAAAAATAGAAGTGTAACATACATACTAATTTCCATTCATCTCTACTTTTAAAACCATCCAGGTGTCTAGATAATTTCTGACAGAAACTTTATACTCATTTCAAAATGGTTACTTTCGGCGATCTATTAGTTTAAACCTACGCTGATCCCATATTACCTTCTGATCAAATATTTTCTATACGGATTCATCAATTTGACTTGGACACTGAATGAAATCCCTCCATTTTGAATCACCACACATTTTGGTGGGTATCATCATATCACATTACTGCTCCTTATGGATGAGCTGCTCACATAATTACCTCATTTCAAATTGCACTTCAAATGGCAAACTCCAAATCTATTTTATTATCAAAGCAGTATTCCAAAGATAAGGAAGCAGGGAACAGTTGCGAAAACCCATCTAAACAATTCTTGCCATAGTCTTGCCCTTCCGTGTGGGGACAACACAAACATTGTACTCTTCAGGCTCCAGCATGTTAGTTTCACCACTAACACGAAGTTATCACTCCACCAATCTGAAAAGGTTACTCTGGGGTTTATTACTGTGTGGAGGCCTTATATTTATTGAAATAGTCATCATTCCAGGGGCTAGTTCATTCATTCATTCATTCATTCACTCACTAAACACTCGGGGAAATCCAACACCAACCAGGCACTGAGCTGTGGACCAGAAACCCATCTACATGTAACTTTCAGAGCAGAGAGACACTAACCCCAGCTTTCCAGTCACATATGCAGGCGTGGCTCTCAATTCCAGGAGGCCAGAGGTATCCTCCGTAAAGAAATCATCAGCTAGGCTGGTTTCGGTCTGAAAGTCAAAGAACCATTTATTTTCTTTTACATGCATTTGGACTACCTTAAAATCTCCCTGTGTCTCAAGGGTTTGTCCATGTTTCATCAAACTTTAATTTTCCACAAAGAGTTAGTAGAATTCAAAAAGTGGAGTGCTCCTTGCCAGATCAAAACCTTCCCCAGTCTTTTACTACCTAAAGCCCAAACCTGTCCAATCTCATGCTTTGTTCTGACTTTGTTCTTGGTGTTTAGGGCGCATACTTTTTAATGAGCGCCATAACATTTCTGTCTTTAGTTCACAATGGCAACATGTTTCACCCAGAATACCCTCCCCCTCACTAATGACCTAGCCATGGGACAGAAACACAGTGATTTATGCGTATTCCAAAACCAGTCAGTTTTCAAAATGGAAACTTGAGGCCCTGGGGGAAAGGTCCCTTTAATAAATAATCCCCAGATAACAACCTCGAAGAAGTCCTGGGTTTTCTTCAGGAGATGTTTGAGTTCGGTCAGTTCTAGGAAGCTTTTTTTTAAAGCCTGCTGGTTCTGGTTGGCTTCCTGTAATTCTCCTTCCAGTTTTTCTAGAAGAGTCTATGCAGAATGGAAAAAGAAGGTAAAGCAGGCAGAAAGTCCTATGACATTTGCCCTACCTTTACCACTACAAATAACTAAATATCAAAAAGAATTCAGTGCATCATAAGGTAGCCTGGAGTTGAGTGGCCCATTCAGTGCAACACAGTATGACCACAGAGCTACAAGCTAGATCCGTTTTCACCAAATGGGGAGGATTAGAAAACACTTTGGGGGGATGGAAATTAGATTCCTGAGGAAGGCAAGGCATTTCAGCAAAGTACGTGTCTCTCCCCCATTTCAAACACTTAAAAGGGAAGCTAAAGTGAATTTACATGTTGAGAATTCCTTCCACCTCAAATACACTGTACTGATAAAATACAAAAAGAGAAATCACTAGTTCTGGGTTGGAGTCTGGAGAACCAGGTACGAGCAAGAGAAATGGGGTACGAACCAGGTACGAGCATAGAGAAACGGCAAGATAGGCAAGAAGACAAAATCAAAAAATAAGAAACAATCTTCCTTCCAAAATGAGCATACAAAATGAGTAAGTCTCAAGAAGAAATCTTACGATAAGAAAAATCACCAACAAAATCAACAGTCAGAACACAAACTCACACTGAGTGCAATTATTTTTATGGAATAGCCTAAAAAAGAGTTTAAGGTTTTTTTTTTTTAGAATGTTCAAAGAGCACCACGTACACACACACACGCACACACCCCTACACACACACACACACACCACTAAATTATTAAATAAACATGTCCTAAAATGAAAAAACGGGTAAATACAAGGGCAAGTATGCCCGGACATGTGGAGGCGCCTATAATTAGTTGATCGTTCCATCATATCTTCTTGAGATTTCGGTTCAGGTCATGATTTCACAGTTCATGGGTTCAAGCCCTGAGTCGGGCTCCTATTCTGACAGGTCCGTACTGTCAGTGGGGGAAAGATTCTCTCTCTCCCACTCTCTCTGCCCCTCCCCAGCTTGTGCTCACTCTCTCTCTCTCAAAATAAATAAACTTTAAAAACAAGAAATCTTGGAAATGTAAAATATAGGTATTGAAGTTCAAAATGTAATAGGTGAGGATCTCTCTGTTGGGCACAATTTGTGAATGCACGACTGAGATTTGGAAAATAATTAAAAAATTTGAAAGCTCAGGGTGCCTGGTTGACTCAGCTGGTTAAGGGCCCAACTTGATTTTAGCCAGGTCATGATCCCAGAGTGGTAGGATCGAGCTCCACATCAGGCTCTGCACTGACCATGGAGCCTGCTTAAGATTCTCTGTCTCTCTGTCTCTCTCTCTCTCTCCCTCTGCCCCTCTCCCTGACTCTCTAAAAAAAAAAAAAAAAAAAATACACACAGACACACACACACAGACACACACACATATGAAAGCTCATTTCTCACTTATTCAAATGTCCAACAACAATAGAATGGATAAAGTGTGGTACATTCAATACAAGAAACACTACCCAGCAGTGAAAATGAATTAATTTCAGAAACATGAAACAATATGGTGTCTTAAAAATAAAACGATGTAAGAAAACAGAAAGTTGCAAAAGAATAAACATGATTTCATTTACATAAAACTAAAATGTGCAAAGCTAAATCATATGCTATTTAGAAGACTAAATATGCGATAAAACTCTACAGAAACAAAGAAAAGAAAAATACAAAATTCAGGACAGTGATTGTCTCCAAGGGGGGAGGAGTGCAGAGGGGAGTGGGGAGGTGAGTGGAGGGGAGAGGGGGGAGGGGAGGGCACACAGAGGGCTTTAACACCATCACTGTGGTCACCTTTATCCCATTCGGAGTGATGGCACTCAGTGTTTACTGTATCATTATTCTTTATACCTTACACACAGTTTCTAAAAATTCTACTGTATCAATTCAACATTTAACAAAAACAATGGTCAGTGAATCAGCAACCATAATAGATGAAAGTGGATTAAGGTCACCTGTTAAAAGACGGAGACGATCAGGCTAGATATTTTTTTAATCTACCTAAGAGACACTTTTACCAAAGAGATTAGAAAATAAACAATAAAACAAAAATATTCCTGCAAATGTTAGTTCCCCTCCCTCCCAAAAAAAGCATATTAATATCAGAAAAAAATTGAATTTTTAGTATTTTTTATGATGGAAAATTTCATACACGTTGCAGAGAGAACTCCACCATGGGCCCCACATGCACATCACCCAGTGATAATCACTACCCTAAATTTTGAACACTAACTATAGTGGCAGAAAGTTGGGGGAGAAAACGAAGTTTTTTCTTAACTGCTTCTTAACCATTTGCTCTATACGCTCAATGATTCTGTTAAAAATAGTGCTGGGGCCTGCTAGGAATTTACCCAAGGGATACAGGAGTATTGATGCATAGGGGCACTTGTACCCCAATGTTTATAGCAGCACTCTCAACAATAGCCAAATTATGGAAAGAGCCTAAATGTCCATCAACTGATGAATGTCCATCAACTGATGAATGGATAAAGAAATTGTGGTTTATATACACAATGGAATACTACGTGGCAATGAGAAAGAATGAAATATGGCCCTTTGTAGCAATGTGGATGGAACTGGAGAGTGTGATGCTAAGTGAAATAAGCCATACAGAGAAAGACAGATACCATATGTTTTCACTCTTATGTGGATCCTAAGAAACTTAAC